ACTCAGTCAGTCACTCAGTCAGTCACTTAGTCAGTTACTCAGTCAGTCACTTAGTTAGTTAGTTAGTTAGTCACTTAGTCAGTCAGTCAGTTTGTCACTCAGTTAGTTACTTAGTTAGTCACTTAGTTAGTCACTCAGTCAGTTACTCAGTTAGTTACTTAGTCAGTCACTCAGTCAGATGTACCGCTGAACTTGAACATGGGTTAGGTACTGAGAAGTATGGAATAAAAAGGAACGGGGATGCGATGCTTGCTTGACTCTTGCACTTGCAAGTACTCTACTGTGCCTTATTCTCTCTATTGTCGACTTCTTAGACTAAAGCTAACTGGGTCTGTACTAGCTTGCTCTTGAACAATGCCGGCAACATCTGCCGCCGCCGCCGCCGCCGCCGCAGCCCTACGAACCACGTTAGTCTGTCTTCTCTTGTTTCCTTCGATTCACTGCCAATTTGCTCGCGCGACTCGGAAGAGAAGTCGGCAATGAATAAGAATCTCATCAATCAATCACAGCACCGACACCGCTCTCTGTGGGCGGTTCCCCATTAACCCGGTCAGATATGGGGACTGCTCAGTCCAAAGACTCGGCAGCCTCTTTCGGAGGCCAGACGATCCATCTGGACCTCAGATGCGTACGCGGCTGTACTGTACCTTACGAGACCTACCAGGTAGGTCGCCGTAGGCCCGGTCTACGCCGTCAGGTAGTGTGTTGTTACCTATTAGTCGACATTTGCCCTGCCCCTTCGGGAGTGCCTCACGGCATTCAATACTGGTATGTTCACGTAAGTATATATATATTTACTCCAGTCCCTAGGTACTCTACTGGATCGGATATATTATCTATCGTTGCTGGGTTGGTATATGGGCGAACAATTGAAGAGTATTCCCCTTTGAATTGTGCCACTTCTTCGTTTCTCTAATCTGGTGTCCGGCTGTTGAATCTGTTGATCTGACTTTCTATCACGTCACTACCCTTCTCTTTCCCTTCAGACAGCATCAGAAGTGTCCCGTCGTTGAACTGAAGACGGAGGACTCGGAGTGCTCAGGCTAGAATTCGAAGGCTTCGGCGCTCAAAGGGTACTACTGTCCTTTGATCACTGTTGTACTACCGATACAACTATCGTCATATCACCGAGTTGAAGTTCCAGCATCGATATCAACACCATACCACGCACGACACGACTCGGCAGCCCAAGCCCACCAAATCTGCAACTGTACAATCTTGGTCGTTTCACCCACTGGCATCCCTGGTGAGTGTGTGGCACAGAAGGACAGGTAGTGAGGAGCGAGACTACAATCAAAATGGGGAAACTTCAACTCCACGTTGGCATTATCGGTGCCGGGCTCGGCGGGCTTGCTGCGGCCATTGGGATTGCAAGGGCCGGAGTCAAAGTGACCATTCTGGAGCAAGCACCTCAACTTGGTGAGGTATGTACAGAACAACACAATGCTCTCTCCCCTTACCACACAACATCTGCCCCTCTCCGCCGACGTCAGGGACTCGATGAGCACTCTCTAACATTTGCTACAGGTCGGAGCCGGCATCCAAATCCCACCCAACAGCACACGCATCCTAGCTCGGTGGGGACTCCTCCCAGCGCTCGAAAAAGTATCAGTGCGCCCCAACAACTTCATTCTCCGATCCTACAAGGACGGCGCAGTCCTATCGACTCAACCGTTAATTCCATACTGCGAGGAGCGATATGGCCATCCATACCTCCACATCCATCGAGCAGACTACCATCGAATCCTAACCCAAGAAGCTGAGCGACTCGGAGTAACAGTCCGCCTAAACAGCCAAGTCACAAAAATCGACTTCGACCGTCCCGCAGTCCACATCAAGAACCAACCGCAACCATTTCTAGCCGACCTAATCATCGGAGCGGACGGATTGAAATCCATATGTCGCGAAGCGCTTCTCGGTCGCCCTGACCCTCCCCATCTCACAGGCGACCTGGCATATCGCATCACCGTGCCCGCAGACAAGATGAAATCTCACCCTTTGTTGGCCGAACTAGTCGCAAAACCCAACATCAACTACTGGATGGGGCCTGACGTCCACGTGGTATGTTACTTGCTTAAGGGCGGCAATCTATACAACATTGTCATTGCCTGTCCAGACAATCTACCCGAATTCGTGAACCAGCAAAAAGCCGACCTGCGCGAGATGAACGAGCTATTTGCAAACTGGGACCCCCAGTTGAGGGCCTTAGTGGCCCTGTGTCAAGAAACTTCGAAATGGCGCCTCCAGAACTCGCGCGAGATGATCAGCTGGTCACACCCCTCGGGTCGGTTCACGCTCCTCGGTGACGCCTGCCACGCTACATTGCCGTATTTGGCCCAAGGTGCCGCGCAGGCTGTTGAAGATGGCGCCGTGTTAGGTCACTTGTTTGAGAAAATCGAGCACGTCCACCAATTACCTGATTTGACTGCGATTTATGAAACTGTCCGCAAACCGAGAACCACGCGAGTTGTGCAAGGTAGTTCGCATTTAGGTCAGAAGATTTTCCATTTACATGATGGCCCGAGGCAAATGGAACGAGATCGCCAGTTGCGTGAGTACCAGGATGATCCGTTCGAGGGGTATCAGAACCGATGGCGTGATCCGGTCTTTCAGCCGTTTTTGTTCGATTATGATGCTAAACAGGTCGTTGATGATGCTTGGGATGTTTATACACAGGGGAAGTTTCCGGGTACGATGGGCAAATTTGCAGAGTTGCTTGAGAAGAAACAACAGCGGACTCAAGGTGAGGAGGGGGAAACGGGGAGTGATGAACTCGATGAATTGCGCAGGCATGAGTTTCGTGTCGCTGGACCGGGGCCCCAGCTTGTGTCGAGGGCTAAAGCTTCGAAGTTGTGATAACGTTTGACAATATGGCCACGGCTGGGCTACTAGTAGGTAGGTAGACTCCTAATATTAAACGAGCCTCGCTTTCCTTTCAATAATTTTGCATGGCATGGCGTTTTCTGGTCACTGTGTCCAGACAGGGCTGGAGGTTTCGATGTACATCACCCACAACATGGACGCCCCGTCAGAGGGTGAAGAAAGGACGAACACCCGGGATTGAAGGATACATTATATATAGCTGGGTCCACATGTTCAGTGCTGGCCGAGCACTTAAGTCATTATTCATACTAACTATACGATGTGTAATGGGCAGTCGTTATTTCGCCGTCCTAGGGTGCTTATTTCGTGGAAACGGCCCCAAGACTATTTCCTATTACTCGTACGTCTTAAGTTACTATATGCCTCTACAGTAGCACTGCCTAATATAGATACTGTAACTACTGTACATAGGTACTATCCTAGGCGCCTACAACGCCTACAACGCCTGTTCACCTATAGCTCTCTAATGGCCGGATCAAAAAGAACGTCGGAAGAGCTGTGGGGCATAGTATACCAGACCCGTAGTAAGTTACAGGTGTTGTAGGCGTTGTAGGCGCCTAGGATAGTACCTATGTACAGTAGTTACAGTATCTATATTAGGCAGTGCTACTGTAGAGGCATATAGTAACTTAAGACGTACGAGTAATAGGAAATAGTCTTGGGGCCGTTTCCACGAAATAAGCACCCTAGGACG